TCCCTCCTCCCAGCCGGCCACTTACTGCGTCGGATGTCCGCGCTGGGGAGGGGGCGGCTGTCGAACCTCCCGTCCCTTTGGCCAGAGAGCCCGTCCTTCTCTCGGCCCGCCAGGGCCTGCTGCCGGGGGATGCCATCCAGATCCAAGGCACACGAGTGGGTGGAGGAGCCTGAGCCCAGCTTCTGCGAGAACATCTCTCCGTTCCCCTTTCTGAGGTAGGAGGCAGGGGCCCAGCCTTCTTGGCCCTGGTACCTGCGGTGGCAACGACGGCAGCGTCACCACGCGGAGCCCCACGCGGCGCTGCGGCCACCAGCCCTTCCCACAGGAGTGACCCTGAGCCAGGGCTCAGGACATGCCTTGACCTACTGCAGGATCTGGGCAATACAAGCTTGCCCAGTGTCATGCTCTGTGGCACGTGGGCACCTGGAGAACTCCAGCCGTGACGAACACCTGTGCAAGCTGGGGGCACCCATCCGGCATGGGCTGGGGATGGCACGATGCCCAACTTCCTTCTCACCCATTCAGGAATGAAAACCACTGGCAGGGGAAGTAGAGGGGGAAACCATAGGGCTGCTGCTAGGATTCATGTACCTGGTCTTTGGAGAAAGTACAAGCTCTTTGCCTCAGCATCAGCAGCCTGGATTCCCTTTCTGCTCTGCATCTGCACTACTCTGGAGAGAAACCAGCCCCACGATCTGATCTGTGGAGTCTCCCTGCCATGCTGGGGGGTCCTACACCAGTGTCAGAGTCTCTCCCTGCTGGCTGGGCTGCAGCCACTATGCTCAGAAAGCACCAGCTACTGACCCTGTAATTGCCATTAGAGCTCTTGTGGCAGCTTTCCTCTGCATAAAAAGTCAGTGAGTGTTTTTCTGGGGCTTTGTTGCTGCCAAGACCAGAGGTTCAACGTAAGGTTAAGAAAATTGCAGCATGTGCTCCCTCCCTGTTCAAGTCTGACCATTTGCTAGACCACAGGCAAGAGAAAATCAGCTTCCAGGAGAAAACAAGAATCAGTTCAGGATGATCTGGAGTCTTTGGCTTCAGCACACCCTGCACACAGCAGACCTGGCCTGGACAAAAGTCAGCAGGAGCCTCTTAACACAGCCAGAGGATCCAGCTTGCCTCCAGGACACTCACAGGTTTTCCTATCAGCAGCACATGATGTAACACACTGGTTCCCTTTGCACTGCTGGGGCATGTGATGCTGTGATGCAGTCCCCCTCCCAGCACAGGAAATTGGGGGATTTTAAAGACATTTAACCACAGCTATGCTTGGCTGGAGCCCTAGATGTCAGTTAGCCTTGGTTTGTAGGGCTGAAGAGAAACGAGTTCTGGTGCTTCTTGATACCCTGAACTTGCCTTCCCAAATGCACATCCCACATGCATTAGGTCTCTGCTTTGCACAGGCCCAGCTGCAGTGCCAGGGAAGAGGAAGAGGTAGGGGCAGTACCTGATTTTCCACCAGCCCTCCAGGTTCTTCTGGATCACCTCCACCACAGCCCCTTTGTCCAGGTTCATTTCATCCTGGTCTCTTGCAGTATATGGGTAAATAACTGTGTACTTCTCCGCTGTTGGAAACAAAGTGCAGTTTCACAGAGATACTGTTTTACAGAAACCTGGACTCAACAACATTTACGTGCTTTATATAGTAATTCCTCTTGTAACACAGGTGTGAACACACAGAGATACACAACCATTCATAAAAGAAATGCCAGTGAAATGTATTTCAAAACAAACCCAGCTGCATTTCAAAATGTAAGGTTTGGTGAGCTAGTCTGGTCCAAGGAGAAGTTGTCTAAAACAGTTCCTCCTCTCCCATAGGACTAAACTATCTTTTATATGACAGCTCTCCTTTTAGCTGCTCTTCACAGAAGCCCTTCCAGTTCAAAGTCCTTTCTCAGAGCCTTTAAAGAAGAACTGTCCTCTATGGAGGACACAGACATGCTCTCATGCAGCTCTCTACAACAGCAGGTCTACGTGAACTTCCCTGTTCAACAGTTGGGTCACCCAAGACATTGGTCAAAGCCGCATGTTGAGCCTGGAGAACAGTCTGATATCCTGTCCACTGGACCAAACAACAGTAAGCAGAGACATGGGGTGCTCTTCCCTTTAAGAGAAAGAGGAAACATCCTAACAGCCATGTGGACAACATGTCAGACAAACATGTCCATCCATCCACCTTTCTGCCTCACCTTCTCCTGTCCTCTCTGGAGCAAACCCAGGAAAGCAACTGCCTGTGCTTAAGCAGTGCCATAACAGAGAGAAAGGAACATTGGCAAAAGTCTGCCTCTAAAACCCACAACTCCGGACATTCATATGTTCCCACCAGGCCTGTCTCCTGGCTTTGTCTTCTGGGAAGACCATAGCCCTTGAAGGGTCTGATTTCCCACCCCCATTCATCTAAATGAGTCAAAGCAGAAAATGTCCTGTGACATCCAGCAAAAACCAAGCTGGCTTTTTTCCTCCTGAACCCATCTGAGCCACCAACCCCAGGGCCAAGGCTCAGAGGAGTTGTTCTTAGAGGAACTAAGGCAGCAGTGCACATGTGTGTTGAGGAAAAGCAGAAACTCCAGCCTCAGTACACAAACAATCCTCAAAAAGTTAGGAAGAATAGCTGATGGAGGAAAGAGGTGGACACAGGTGGACCTAATGGAAGGCTGAAGAGCATGTACAGCATGCGTTGAGGACTGACACAAGTGGGGTCCCTCACATGCAAAGTGAGCAGACATGCAAACAAGAAGGCTGCAAGCATAAAATATAGCCAGCTGAACAAGTCTCCATGAAGTCCACCTTGACCCCATCCACTGGTGTACAAATCCCCAAGAGTCCGACGGCGGCCAACGTGCCTGGGTAGAGACCAGTATCTCCATGGGACTGGGAAAAGCATGTTGGGGAAGCAGGAGAAGGACAAGAGAGGACATAAGGAGGTGGCAGTTCAGGTTCAAGAAGTGACAAGGCTGACATCAGAAAGTGGCACGGAGACTGTACTTGTCTGTAGCTCTCTGGGGTCTTCCCCAGTCTAAGCCTCCCCTTCCACCTCCCCAAGCAAGGCCTGAGCCAGCTCCAGGACTGCTCTGAGCATACAGTGGACAGTGGGAAAGATGAATTCTCCAAGGGCATTTCAGATCTGCTCTAAGCAAAGGCTGCCACCTTGCTGTTCTCAGAATGTAAGCTCATGCTTGCTCTTTGCTCTGCATGGGTTTAGAAGACAAGGCAATTGTCCTGGGAGCTGAGCTCTGCTCCTCCTCTAGCGCTGGTATAAAAGCTCCCTGGGGCCTAATGGCGGCACTGGGATGGCAGCATTGGGTGTTCCCTGGAGGTAGCACCTTCAGCCCCTCTGTGAGGAAGAACAAATGCCAGTACTTATAACATCAGTATCAGGCTGCCCTCTCCTGCTACAGCACTGGAGCAGAGTGCTGGGCAGGCAGGACCATTGTGGTCAGACATAACTGAACAGCATGTGCTGGTTTGTCCTTCCCTAGGCTCTTGCCCTTCCTAAGTCAGGGAGGGCTAAGCAGTCCTTCCTAAGCAGTCCTGTGAGCAGCCCAGTGCAGTTCAGC